AGCCCTGTTGTGCTGGTTTTATTATAAGAATTGATCAGGAAAAGGTTTGTTTTTTTTTTTTGTAAGGAAATCACTAGCCTTTATCCTGGTGACAGAAGCTTTATTTTCTAATTTCAGTTCTCCCCAATTATGCTGATGTCTAAATCTTAAAAAACCAAATGGATATTGATTGAAACATGGTCGTCATCTTTCTCCGTGCAGATGGGTATTATTCCTGACAATTAAACCAAAAGTTAAAGAACAAGCCAAAAAACCTTGTCCTACAGAGCTTTACATAGAGTGCTCTGAAAAAGTGGGTAGGGGCTGTTCAGGGGAAATGGAAATGCAAAGCAGTGGTTGTAGGACTCCTTGGGATTCCTTTTCTGCAAATCTCCGTGCAGTGTGGACTGAAGGAGTGCAGTGCTGATCTGGAGCTGCTTTGGGAAGTCCAGACACGCAGGGACTCAGCATCTCGGTGACTAAACTGGTTGCACTGAGCACAATCTGAGGTGTTGGTACAAGTGCTGTACTTTATGCCATTGATGAGGGCACATTTGGGAACCTTTGTGTCTTTTTTTCCATCTGCTGGTAAAGCTGTGGCTTGAAACGTTTCATCCAAATTGGGAGCTGAGAAGTTCTTTTCAAACTCGATTCATTTCAAAGAAGCATGTAACCTTTCTTCCTTTTAGAATTAGAAGAATCTCCCTTAACTGTGAAGAGTGACATGGCTACTATTGTCAAGGTTATGCAGCTACCAGACTCAGGCCTGGAAATTCGGGACAGGATGTGGTTAAAAATTACCATCTCCAATGCAGTGATAGGTAAGCAGATCAAAGGAATGATGGGGGGAAAAAAAAACCTATGGCTTTTTGGAAATAGGCTGAAGAAACTGTCTGGATATAAACTTTTTTTCCTAGCAATCTGTGCAAGTTCAGCAGAGCACCAGTCCTTGCAATTCCAGTTCCAGGCAGCCACACAAGCTTAATGAAGCATCTTAATTACATTTAAAATTACCACAACCAGGCAGCCTTTGATTCTGACTGTCCTGTGACCTGAGCTATGCTAACATTTAGTCAGTCTAGCTTGTAGTTACTTTTTTTGCCGAGAAAGGGATTGGAACCCAGGTCTTTTGATGTCACATCTGCCTCTTGAGGGAGATGACTCTCCCAGTCACTTCTGTAAATCCCAAATCATTTTCATTACTGCAATTCAGAAGGGGTTGAACAGTGTAGCTGTAAATTTTTCTGTGTGCGTATTTGGTGTCACTAGTAATGTAGTGTGCAGCTGGATGCCAGTTAATTCTTTGCTTTCTCTGTGGATGTCTAATTTAGCAGTTAGGCAGAGTTGTGAAAATTTTTTAAATTAAAAAAAAATTTTTTAATTTTAAAATGTGAAAACATTTTAAACTCTTTGCAGCAAGATTGCTACGTGTTCATATTTGCGTTCAGTACCCGGCACAGTCGCTAGTGGTCTGTGTGATAATGTGAAGATGAAAAAACCAAAAAAGATCAATTTGGCCTGAATGATCCTGTGTCTCCTTTTCCTATTCTCATTTTAGGAGCAGATGTGGTTGACTGGCTTTACACACACGTGGAAGGCTTCAAAGACCGACGAGAGGCTAGAAAATACGCCAGCAGCATGTTAAAACATGGCTACCTCAGGCACACTGTGAACAAAATCACCTTCTCGGAACAGTGCTATTATGTCTTTGGAGACCTCTGTGGCAGTAAGTTCCCCATCCGTGAAGGGCAAAGCTGCGTGTGTGTTGCCTCTTCTGTGCTGGCGGGATGCACAGAGGAGAGTCCCGTAGGATTTCACGAGGGGGTGTTTCAGAACGGGCTGTTATTCGGAAACTGCATGTCAAGTGGTTGACACTTTCTGCTGCACCAAGCAAGTCAGATGCTAGATAAGAGCAGTCTTCACCTTTTCTCTCTTTTCCAGATATGGCTGCACTGAACCTTAACAATGGTTCTAGCGGAGCCTCGGATCAGGATACCATTGCTCCTCTTCCACATCCTGCTGCTCCCTGGCCGTTAGGCCAAGGATACCCATACCAGTATCCTCTGCCCCCTCCGTGTTTTCCACCAGCGTACCAAGACCCAAGCTTTAGCTACGGTAGCGGCAGCGCAGGGAGCCAGCAAAGTGAAGGTAAGATGGTTAATCTGGTATTTATTTCTACAGCTGTCATTAGCCTTAACCATTTGCTTGAGTTCCTTCGTACTGTCTGTGCTCCTGTCTTGTGGTTTGCACGCTACCTGCATGGATTTGGTGCGACCGCATGTGATCAGGACTGGTTGTAGATGTGACGGAGTGGGGTAGCCTTTCAGCTCTGTATTGAAACCACCAGCGGTGTTGTAACCGAGTCGGCAGAGCAGCATCCAACACACGCTGTTTGGATGAACACACTGTAGTTCTGTACCCCGTGCCAAATGCCAGTGGGGAACCAGAGCCAGGCTGTTTGTCACATCCCTGGTGCCACGGGCATCGGTACTTTTCTTAGCCCACAGCACCACCTGGTACACTGCTGCTTAGATAACGCTGATCACGCCAACATTGACGACTCGATTGTGCACCCTGTTCCAGCAGATGAACTGTTGCCCCCATTTGAGAGGTCAGAGCCATCGCCAGCAGCGGGGCTGCAGTTGCTCGATATTGCTAGAAATGAGGCCATTTCCTTGCTGATGGAACTGGGGTTAGAACCAAGGTGCTCCTGAGTTTCACTTCAATGCTCAGTACAAAAGGAAAATCACTCTCTTTGCTGCGTGAGGCAAGTGTGAGGTGGCCAGCCAGATGGTTTTACAGGGCTGAAACACTGCTCACAGGGAGGAGAGTCTCTCTTGACAGGGAAAAAAAGGTAATACTGCATGGATTAAAAACCTGACCTCCTCCTTTCCTGCCCTGGCATAATTCTGTGGTTCAATTTCAAACCTTAGTAAATACAAATTATGTATTTATTGGCTGTAGAGATTTTTTTTTTTTTTTAAATAACTTCCAGAGTGAGTTTTGCTTTTGGAAATGCTGCCGGTAAAAAAAGGGTGAAGATTCTGCATGTTTTTGTGGTGGGCATCCAGTCACTTGGATGTAACTTCTTCCTGTTTACCGCAGCCAGTTAGATTTTGCAAAATTGCCCAAAAGAATTTAATAAACCGAACTTGCTCACAAGATTTTAGCACTGTTGCTTCCCAACTTACCTCAAAATAAGAAGTGTCTGTGAGGAAGCTCACAGTGATACCCAGAGGTTTTAGAATTGCAAACTGATTGTGCTGCAAAAAATGTGATTTTTAAAAAAATTTTTTTTTTTTTTGGGAGCTGGTTCTGTGGGCAGTAGAGTATTAGATCTCTGCTGCTGGAATAGGAAAGGTACGGTATTTTATCCATGCGACCTGTGCTACTGGCTAAAGAGAGCCTTACGAAAGGTGCCAAAGTGTTTCATTCAGAAGGGTTTCACCACTTTCCTTGTTCTTCTTTTGGAAACTACACTTCTGTGTTGTTTCTTGTTTTGTAACTGTTATTCCCTTGTTTTGTTCTGAGCAAGCGTTAGACTGAAGGATTCATAGAGGAATGGCTGACTCTAGGGGATTGGTAAGCTCAAATGCCTCCATAATAACAACGAATTCACAGCATGATCATTTAGACTCTTGTGACCCAAATGTTTAGCTGTATTTTTTTTTTTTTCTTTTTAATTGTCTTGGACACTCAACCCGTCTCAATGCACAGTAGTCCAGTAGCGTGGCGTTAGCGTATCAACCTGTCTGACCCCGTGTCACTGTGCTGCAGCAGCTGCAGAGGGAATGGCATCAGGGACCTCGCTGTCAGCTCAGATGGGAAAATCCTGCCACCAGTCTCTTCACTGCTCTTTGTAAAATAACTAAATAAATAATCCCAGCTCCTAATTTATTAGTCTGATGTCATCCGTATGGATGCTCATTTAATGAGAGACACTTGAGCACTGTCCAGATGTCCCAGGCAGGTATGAAGAGCGCTGGAACCCCAGGTTGCACCGGTCACTGTCAATATAGAGGGGTGGGATCGAAACACGTCCCCGTTCTGGGAGGTGCTGGCTGTACAGATGGACAGAGGTCAGTCCTGTCACCAGTTTACAGTCTGAAGAGATGAAAGAAGATCACAAAGACAGTTACAATCAGATTGAACCTTGTTGGCTTGAGTCAAAACCCAAATGTCTGCTTCTTCCTCCCGTCGGCGGGCGGCCGCGGAGCAGGTGGCTGTCGGTCAGGAGTTCTGGGCTTAGCTGCTGCTTTCACTGTGCGAGCGCTAAGGTGTCTACGTGTACCTGTGCATGGCACAACCTCCTCAGCTGTGTTCTACCGATTCTCATTGCTAAATCCCATAAGCCACCAGCAGCACGTTCAGGCCTGGTTTTGTCATCGTTGTCACCGGTCATACCCGCATCGGTGGGGTTTGGGAGGAGCTGATGGGGGAGGCGGCCGTGGACCGGAGCTAATTCTGCTTTTCTCTGTGTCCGTTTCGCTCCTGGGCTTTAGGAAGCAAAAGCAGCGGCTCGAACCGAAGCAACAGCGAGAACAGCAGGAGAGCTCTTGGCAGAGAGAAGGACCGC